GCTTTAAAACTACAGAAATCAAATTATCAGTCCTTCTGTTAAGAGACTGATAAACATGGAAATTAAATGAGAGCCAGGACTCTACTTTGCATGTAAAAGTTAGGAGAAAAATGTAGTAAAGATTTTTTGGATAAGAAATTTCAAATTGTCTCCATGCTACAGATGCGGCATTACCACATTTTCAACTGGACATGAGTCCATTAATCCTCATCTGTTTTAGATTAGGCTTCAGAATTTTACTAGTGTGTTTGTTCTCTTTGTGACTAAACAACCCACAATCAAAGAACATTTAAACACATACTTTTACCTAGTAGTTTTACTTCTATTTTCTAGAAATATCGAGAGGCAAGACAGCTAATAACTTTATTGTCAAAAGCTACAAATCTGTAAATAAATAAATTCTGACTATAATATCTATTCAGAAAGGAGACACTTAAAATCAGTAAATGTTGAGTTCTTTCAATATGTAGTTGACGGAAGAAGAAAATACAATAAAATCAATCTCTTAACAGGGTTGCCACTCAAACAAGAGCATGAAATTATTTCCTAACATTTCCAGGTGTGTTTCAAAAAAATTCCAGGTTATCTGCATAGTGCACTCTGGTTTTGCAGAGGGTAAATTAATTTTGGTACCACTCGAAAACACAAAAATTTGCCAATTACATTTGATTTTATATATATATAATACCCAAAGCATTACTTTTATAACTATAATAGGAGTTGTTTTCTCCACTGAGGATTGAGATTAGAATCTGCTCAATCGGGATTTAAAAGTGTCTTTTCTGCAGAAATTTTGCAGCTAAAGGAAGAAGAAATCTATTCAATGATATTTTAAAATAAATTCAAGTATTTTATATTTATTTAGCAGCATACATAAGTAAAAAATATGTGCACTAAATTTCATTATGGTTTGTCATATTACTACTAGAATTAGTTTCACATGTATGTCAGAGAAAATAGCCTGAAATTTGAAAGTATTATTAACTAATAATAAATAAATTTAGAAAAACGAAGACACATTAAATAATACGAATAACATTAAAACAAAGTTAATTACTTAAGGATTAAAAACTGAATTATGATAATCAATGATATTTTGGCAAAAACAGATATATTAAATAGTTAGCCTAGATTGTTATTTTTTAATTATTATTTTTTAAATTCTTATTTTTTAAATTTTACTGCAAAATGACAAATAAGGCATTTAAGAAAGAAGAAAAGGTTTAAAAGATTTTGTTTTATACAAGAATGGAAGGAATTTACTTTTATTCAACATGCACTGCACATGCGCATGCGAATCTCTGGATTCTCGAGGTTACTGAAAACCAAAGATGCTGGAAACTCGCTTTGCATTTCTGACAATCTGATTGACACTGCAAAAATTGGCTCTACACAAGCTGTCCGAATGACGCTCGAGATGAAATTCGCCAAGAAAGCGATTGCTTCCGATGTTGGCGCAAAAAATTGCTTTTTGGGAATCGCACTATGAAATTCCTCGACTTTTTCAGATTTTGACTAAAATATTTAAATTCCCTGACTTTTATGGTCAATTTTCGAATATTTTCACTTTTTCCGGTTTTCCAGATAACATGGCAACCCTGTCTCAAGGTGTCCTTGATCAAAGCTAGGATGAAACTCAGACAGATGACCTTTCTGAAATAAGAAATCCGTCTTGAATATCTCAGTTTCATGTATCAATCACAAACACTAATGCTACTGAAATGCAATAAATTTTCTACTTATATTTTTTATGTAAAGAGCAAAAATCTGACAAATAACTCAATTCTGCAAAACCTCTCAGATGTAAACAGTAAAATTCCCAATAAGTAAAATTACAATACCCCCCACCCACCCCCCCAAAAAAAACTTTGTTTCAAAATCAACTTTGATAAATATACAACCACAATCTATATACACATATTACAGCTACATTCAATTTTTACTGTAGCAGAGTATAACAGGGATGAATTTTCTAGGTTTAAGATCCAAAAAAAGGCTAAAGCTAAATAACCACTTCTTTATGCAAAAGAAATGATGAAAATGAACAAGTTTGTCAAGACAACATTGTGCAATAGATAACAAATATGGATGAACTTAAAAATCACTATCAAATCACTGATGAAATCAGTCAGAGTTTTAGATCCAGTGCAGAAAGATTCAGATTGTAAAAATGACCTAGAGAACAACAAAACGATTCTATTTATTATAAGTTTAGCTTTAGAGGGAAAATATTCAAATTTTTAGAACAAGGAAGCTGTTTAACTGATAGTTATTAGAAAGTAAAGTACTTCATTCTTATAGCAGCCAATAACTATATTTGGCAGTTTTAGATCTGCGCCAAGATCGCGGCTGTCACCAAGCCTGTGAAGCACAAATGCGAAAATAAACACAATATATAATAATAATAATATCTCACACGTTGTTTTCTAAGAATATTTTTAAGAATCCTTATTATTATTATTATTTTATCGCATGTAAAGGTTCCAATCAGCTACAGCACTTTCACACATATTAAGTTGTTTGTTACATCATTTCATGTACTCCTTTGCTCAAGAATACACAATCGCAGAGATGAACAATATTCTGGAACTGTTGAAACAATTTCCAAGACGAAGGTCCTTCTTCTTATTGCAATTTTTAACATTGCACCTCCAAATGATTTCATCGTTAACATAAATTCTCATATTGTGGCCATTTTCGCATACTTGTTTGTCAGGTAAAAGACATCTTTCTTGAAAAAAATATGGCACCCACCTCATTACTTGGTAAATTTAAAATTGTTAACATCAAATTCACATGCATGCAAGCATGCACACACACAAAAAAGGAGGCAATGAATATATTTTTAGATAAAAAATGCAAATTCAAATAACCTCATCAGAAATGAATAATATAAGTACACACGGCAAGAGCAAAAAAAAGCAACATGGTGCTAAAATTGATTATGTGGTAAGGTATAAAAACATGTAGACAGATTTTAGAAAGACAGCTCAGATGATTGGAGATTCAATCTCGGAGGCCACTATAACAAAGAAGCACCGAAAGTAAAAATAACTATAGAGAATTTTAAAGAAGGAGGGAAATCTCTCAAACTAGAACATTCTAAAATTTTATAATAAAAGATGTCTGAATAATGCAAAAAATAATTTTTTGAATATATTTTTATAAACTCTGTTTCATTACACAGAAATGTATGCTTTTATATACTTCATATTTATTATGATTTTTTTATCCTTAAATTTAATAATCTAAAATTTATAAATCCACATAGCAAGTGTTCCAAGCTGTGAGTATTTTGGATTTTTGTCATTGCATATATTATCTTTCATTTTTTAATGCTGTCATAATGGTATTAGAATGCACAGACCATTAGAACTATAAGCTATACAGCTTTCAACAAAATTACTAATGCACCATATATCTGTGATTAGCTAAATGTCTTCAATATGTAACCTATAATATTAACACTTTGGCTCACAAAATATATTTTCCAAGAAACTTGTAATCTTAATTTTGGTTTATATTTTAATAAATTTAGTATGTTTAAGTAATGTAATGATAACATAAGAGGAAAATTCCAAAAATGTCCTATATATTATATATATATAATTTTATATAAATTTTGTGGCACATAATATATTACTGTAACCCCGCTAGTAAAAGTAACCAAAATTTCAAAATGTGCCAACTTTGTATAACAGTTCTTCAAGCAACTGCCACATGACAATTCTTCAGTTTTAACAAGCAACAGTGATATTTTCATATGCATTATTTTTATACCATTTGAAATTTCAAAGCTTTTTATACTGTGATATTTTTGTCGTAAATTGTTTTTTAAATATATGCTTAGAGTATTTATCAGCAATGGAAGAAACTGTGATATAGAAATACCGTATTTTGTCACAGAACCACAAAAGGGAACAACTGTTTTAAATATATTTTAAAACTATGTTATGTAAACACTGTTTTAATTTCTAATCTTTTATTTTATCTATTTATTAGTTTATTTCAACCAGAACAAAAGAAACAATAACTCACTTGTAAGCAGGTTTATTTATTTTAGGGTTAACTATTTAATTAAAATGCAAAATATGTACGCAGTGAATAATTTCTGAATTATATTTTCTTCTTTAAAAAGATAAATAAATGAAACATCAACTTGCACAATGATGGCTGCCCTAATGTTAAGCATCAATTTGTTCTATATATTTACACTATTTAAAAACAAAACAAAACAAAACAAAACAAAAACTGAAATGTTTCAGATTTTAAATTACGTCCAAAGGGGCGTTTTTTTAACATTTTGTGTGTTACCTTTCTTTATTAAATATCATGTTCCTCGCACTTAAACCATAAGATCCGGTGCAACAGCAATATCGCAAAATAGTTTTAAAACGAGCATATCTTTAGAATTTCCGATACAGAGACTCACGCGTTGGAGATAAAAATGTTTTTTCTGCACAACGTTGCCATTGCTCGCTTTGAAATCCTTGAGTTTGTTAATCAAAAATTCATCAAAGTTTTAAAAAATAGGAAATCGATCATAAAACAAATTTCAAATTTCAAATTTGGTCTTCCACATGCTCATATTCGTTGGAGGATTACGTTATTCAAAATTCGATGACTCTATGTACTATTGTTTTATCACAATACGAGAAATATACATACATTTATGCAGATTTTTCATTATTTAATTTCTTCAAATATAATGCAGGACTCTAACATTTTGTGGCAACAGTTTGAAAAGTGAACCGACATTTATGAGTCCGATGCAAAATGCCAAAACGAAACTAATAGTCCTTCGGGATTCAAATCCCTTTGGACTAAAAAAAAAAAAAAAAAAAAGAAGAAGAGAGTTTAGAAATACAGCAAGTGCTGAATAAAAATAGCTGAAATCTTTCCTTTCAATATTTATACTACATTTAAAAAGTACAAAACTTAAAAAAGGAAATAACACTAAATAAACTCAAAAAAGAATAATTATTAATTAATATATTTACCCATCACAAATACAACAGAAGGTATTTCATCCACTTCTTGTACAGAAGTAAGAGAACACTGGTTTATAAAATTAACGATACTGTCAAATGTCTCTTTATGAGACTGTTTTTCAATTTCCTATAGAGGGAAAAAAATATCAGAATTTTCAAGTAATTGTAAAAATTAAAGTAAAAAGTTATCCTAATTATGAGTCTAAGTATTCCAAATAATAGTAATTTAATGCCACAAATATTTTGAACAGATGTAGTATTATAATTCCTCTCAGGAACATTTGTCTGGAAATGAAAACTATAGTGAAGACCTTATCTGGCTGAAATATGCCCATTGAAAGAGAGAAAAAAACAGACATAATATATTAAGTAGATCAGATTAACATCCAAAAGAAAGATAACATGAAATGAATTACAAAAACAGTGCTTACAAGCACAAGTATTCTGATCATCCCTACAGAAAAGGGCACAGTAATGAAATTGAAAATAATGCATACAATGTGATAAATACTAATAAAAAATATTACTTAATGCAAGGACAACATTAAAAGTAATTAAAGTATAAAAAATTATGTTTGGTTTCAATGCAATGAAATACTTAAAAAAATCCTATCATATTATAAACAGATCTGAGATAACAAGATACATTAAAAACTTATGTGTCAACCATGTAACAAAACTCTTCGTAAATATAAACATCTTTGGCACTTTTCTATTGGCAAAGTGTCTCTTATTGCCAAACATAAATGTTGGCACAACATCTAACTAGATGGCAACAACCTTAACAATACATGTTTCATTAAAAGAATAACTATCTTATAATATAAAATAATTTATAAAAATAAATATATAAGAATTAGATAATAAATATATAAGAAAAGAATAAAAAAAATTATAAAACAAACTGATATAAATATAAAATAAAAAAATATTATAAAAAAATTCAGAGAATTACAGAATAAATTCTCTGAATTTTTTTTTTAAAGTGAAAACAGATCACTATAAACAATGAAACTGTTGTTCTCTTCATGTACTTACTGAGCTGCTTTTGCTGAAGTATGTTAACTAAATCTTCAACATTCTGTAGAAAATTTGGTTTTGCAATAAAAATGAGATTCAGAATTTCAAAGGAATTTAATCACTGAATAATCAAAACACTAGAGGTATTGCCTTAGAGTAGTTCTTATTTTAATAAAAATTACAGGTTGCACATGTGTTAGCTTTTACATTATTAGATGGCAGGCTGCTTAAGAAATTGCAAACTATATCAGGAACAAAATTGCGTGCAATTCTACCTCATATCCAAGTCATGGATTTGCAGATTTCGTGGTTCCTTCAACAGCAACAGAAAGGTATTCATGGCCCAAACAGAGCACAATATGTTAAATGATTATGTGATAATGGCAAAGCTTCGAGGGCTATCTGCCTAAGTGGTGGACTTTCTAAGGGAAACAGACTTGTATACATGTTACACATAGGGAAAACCACAAAAACGCTCATGCATCCAACCCATTCGTGGGATTCAAACCACAGACTGAACTATTAGTGTTCAGCGACTTTACTGCTCGGCTGCTGGTGGAATACAATATATTCTGAAACTCGGACAGGTGCTTAAGTGAAGCTGGAATTGTTACAACCCTACTGGAATCAATTATTTCCTACAGAATGCACAAAGGGAAAAAGACAGTATACAATAAGTCTACATATTCTGCTAGACTATATTATTTAAAGATCCTTCAAATATATTAAAAGGCTAATAGGTTTCTTATAATGGATTCTCACAAAATCGCAAAGCCACTGTTATCTACAACAGAACTTGTTTACAATGAATGGCTGCCTTATATTTTTGCTACACCATGAAATTCCCTTTCACCGAGTGTAACAGGAAATGTTACATGATTGTACAACTCAACAATATGTTACAGAGATAATTATAAGTATTCAATGACATACCACTCTAGTTATGTAAACAAGAAATAGTCAAGAATCTTGCAAAGAGTCTGATTCTGTAATAATAGATTCATTTTCATTATGATTTGGTTGTTTATGTAGCTTTTCCTCTGAAAATGCAGCTTTGGTCTATTACCTGCTGTACACACTACTAGACAACATTCTCTACAATAAGGGGGTGAAATAAACTTTGGCAAATGCTATACTGACATTAAAGAACATTAAATTCTAGTACAGCCATCCAGTTATAGTAAATCGGGGGAAAAAATGATGGATGAAAATTAACTAAAAAATGTGAAACATTATTAAGTGGTTTCTAAGAGATTAATATTTTTTACAAATAAAATTTTAAAAATTACCTGAATTTTGCATTCCATTTCATTCCATAAAGAGGCATATTGAGTAAGCTTGGAAGAACATGAGACACTTTTAGCTGTTAATATACAAAATTAATTCAATAAAAGAATTAAAAATTTAAATCTTTTTAAAGAATTAAAAATTCAGCATACAAAGGTAAAATAGCAAGGTACCACTTACAAAGATAAAAATACTGTTAAAATCAAATATTTCACAAATCAATGAAGACTAAAAAGTTTACCTGTTGTAGCTTTTTTATTGCAGTTAAAGTAATATATATTTCAATATTCATAAGGCTCATTTTTATTCTTTATCAGCATTTTCCAATTTATTAAATTTAATCCCAAACTGAAATGACAGTAAAAGTTATTTTGTTTGAATTAATTTTAACTCTGTAACATAAAAATGTACATGAGTAGAGATTAAACTTATGAGAATAAAAGCATTTATGCTTATTCTATGTTATTATGATACAAAGTACTCAGGAGGCAGTCAATCATGTAGTGCTGAAAATTACTACTGTCAGGTTTGATGTGTGTTTTTGTCCTTATAACAAATTATTATAAGAAACCTAACAATTAACAATCCATTATAAGAAACCTATTAGCCTTTTAATATATTTGAAGGATCTTTAAATAATATAGTCTAGCAGAATATGTCTTGCATGTTCTAACAGTATACTACTCATATGACACAAACTGATAAAGTAAGAAAATATACAACTCTAATTAGTGTTTTCTTTATTTTTTAATGATATAGTTTTATAACATATCTGTAACCTCCATGTACACGTACTTACTCATTTGGATCTGTTAGAGAATACCCCACTTTGTTACATTTTTTAATGTAGTTGTAAACATTTTGATTATTCTTCCATGGTAAAGTGTCAGTTCCCTTTTAAAAATTAATATATATATATATATTTGATATTAACTAATTGGAAATAATGTTTAAATGGGTCAATTCAAAATTCTAATAAATTAAAAATCCTTTTTCTTTTCAGCAGAAAATAAGAGTAATTAAGGAATCCAACTGCATAAAAATTTAACCATTTCTTCCACATATTGTGAAACGTTTGCTGTATTTTATTTCACGACCCACAGAAACAGTTTTAACTTATTTATGAACTATACTAAATTTGTTATATTATTTACTAATGAAAATTTTATTTATTTTACAAAGTATTAATACTTCACATCTTGAAATTTCTTTCAGTTAAATTTTATAGCAACTCGAATGTTTTTGATTTTTTATTACTATGTAATAAATGACACATTTGGAAAGGAACATTATAGCTAGAAAATTAAAAGCTGATATTTGGATAACATTATTACATTATTCATAATATGAAAATTTTATTTTTTGACTGCCAGCTACACTAAAGTCTATTACTTTAAAAGCAGGCACTTCAAAGCCATTCTTTCCTTCCCTGTTATATTCTAACCATAGTTAATGACAGCTACAGAAGATAGTCAGGTCTTTTAATTAGTTAAAAATCTCTTAATCCCTTCATTAGAGTAATGGTAACACATATTTTGGCCATAAAGAGAGAGTAAAAATTAGAATACGTTAAAGTAACAGACTATAGAAGGGCTTTCATGAGAGGAATGCCCTCATTCTTTCAACAGAAATGACTGAATACTGATTAGTTAACCAGACATGAAATTATCAGCATTGAAATCAAACTGTGTAGCTTTAAGTATTAAATTTAAGACTGATGCATTTCTGGAGTGTTGCCTAAGAAAAACTGATTTTTAATTGTTTTACGTGGAAGAAAAATCAGAGAATTAAATGGAATTTTGTTTTTGAATAATACTCGAAAAACTGGTATCTTTGTAAGACCTTTTGACCATTCTATGATTATTCTATGAATTAAATGCTTGTTTTCACTGGTCTAGCTCAATGGTTTCCAACTTGTGGTATGCAGGTTAGGCAAGAATACATGAAAAACTTGTCAGTATTCCAGGCAAAATACAAAGTATTACATTAAATGCTGATTAAAAGGAAAATATCCAGGAAGTTCCTGGTACTAGCTCTTATTTGAGATTGCACCAAGATCTTTTTGAAGACTACCCCTTTCAGATATTCCTGAAATTTTAGAATATGAAAAACTTCAAGAATTTGCATAACTAGCTGATATTTTCCCAAAATAAATAAACTCAATTTAGGATTACAGAAAAGATCCAGAAACTTTACGTTCTACCATACATGAATTGATACAACATTGATCAAGAAATGAAGCCAACAACATCCGTCTGCATCACTCCACGACATATATGTTTAGTAACAGTTACATTTTTTAAGTTTGTATGCTTTCTTTCTTGTTGTCTTACCTGCTGACATAATAAATTTTCCCATGAGATACTTTTAGCATGACACTTTTTCCCATGAGACACTTATATAATAAATTTTCCCATTCAGAAGTTTCATGAAAATCTTAATTACAGACTAGAATCATTTAAATTAAACTACACTGTTCTATAACAGTATGCATGATAAATGGTAACAAATTTTATTCATTAAAATAATACTGCAGACATCCAAAAAATTTTACAGTTAGACATATTACAAATTCAATATATTAAAATTATATCAGTCACATTATTAACGTAAAATTAAGCCAAAGGTGACCTGACCCACTGGCTGAGTGTTAAAACTGTTAAGGCATGGCTTAATTTGATTATTGCAAATCACTCGAGGGCTATATAGCTTAAGGGGGGGATTGGCTTCGTTAAGGGCCTTCTAAGCAAGACTGATATACACATTTAATGAAAAAAATCAGACTGAAGGACTTAAAAGTTTAAAATCTTATCTGATTATAAGTTTATAAATTAAATAAAAAGAATTCAATAATTCACTTAAAATGATTCTAAAGGTCATTCAAACATTATTTGACCAAAAGAAGTGATGAGGACAATTGAATTTCAGATTATTTCAATGATTTTTTTAAAGTAGCCACATAACTAAAAAACAATAACTCACTGATTTTATTTTTCTGACCTTATTCATAGCAGTTTATTATTTTTATGATATGAAAATAATAAGATATACTATGGGAATAATGGACTATGGGAATAACAATTGTCTATAATCAGGACTATTTTTGTGTCATCAGGTAAACCGACCGAATTAATATGTTGCCGGGCCTTGGGTCTAAAATGATCTTCAAATCAATCATTCATTAATGCTTGTGTCATCCATGCTCTTTTATTTGCACGACACATAATGGGAAAAATTGTTACTCCTTTGAATGCTCAAGGTCATGTATGTTTTCCCATTACGAAGCACTTGTGCATTCCTGCAGTATTTGCACACGCTGAAATTGTTTAACTCTCTTTGGAAACTTTGACACCAGCTGCAGTCTTTTCTGTAGAGGTAGCCAAGGCATTTCGCAGTACATTTTGCCAGAAAAGACCAGTTTCATAAGCATTGTACATTTGTTTTGGAGATAATTTTTCATTAGTAATGAGTTCAATGAATTCATCTGCTAATATTTCAGCAGCTTCATTATCAGCTGAATCTTTTTCACCTGAAATTTTTAATTGCCTTATAACACAGTGATTTTTAAATTCGGTTAAGCAACCTGTCGAATATGTGCACTCAGTTTTTAATTTTATTTCTTCATGAAATATTTTGGCTTGAGCCATTAATATTGGACACATCAATGGCATGCCCTAGCTGCAATGCTGCCCGACCTAGTCAATCATTACAACTATATTCATTGCGAGTGGTGTGTCAGAATCCACAAAAAATTCAAAAAGTTCCTTTTAGTTTGTCATATACAGTCGACTTTCCAGTGCTATACTCCTCGCATAATTTTGAGATGGCTATGATTTTATCCAATTTTTTGCAGCAATTCCACTTCTTGTTTAATGAACATCGAAACGTGCTTTTGCTTTGTAGATCCTGTTGCAGCTCCAGAAATAGAAACTCTTTTCGACATAATCAAAAGTTCAAACTTTAACTTTCATAAAACTGCTGTAATAACAGCCTGCAACAAATAATAAGCTGGATCAAATCAGAAAGTTAAGGAACTGTGCAACCTGCTATATTTACCGAAATTCCTTGAAATCAGTAAAGTATAATTTTAGCCTACCTTAGCAGTGTCGGCTATACATTTATTGGCTATGAATCATAAGATTGGCGACAAAACAAAAGTTGTTCCACGAAATTTTGTCTTGCTTCTATAGAGTACTGAATTAAGCCTGAATTGTATTAGTTTTATTATACCTACGTCTATTTCTTGCATATGCTTAAGGCTAATCTGAGTCCTGAATAAATAAACTACCACATATACTTAAGGCATATCTAGAGTCGGCACTATATACTGCCTGAGGCAGTCTCTGCAGGTATTAAATTACAGGTACAAAGCACCTCCCTAAGTTCTAAATTTTTACCGCCGCTAAACTTTGGATCCCAGTGCTCTCCATAAATTATGAAAATTTTGTCATTTCTTAATTTTGCCACTTGGTGTTTTTCCAAATTCCAAAAATTTTGTCTTACCTAAATTCTGCCCCCTGATGCAGCCAAACGAGTTCTGACGCCAGTTGTGGATTTACATGAATAACAAATCAGTTATTCTTAATTCAAATAGCACTAAATGTAATCTTTTAGCCTATGAGTTTCATTAACAAAATCTATTTTTAGCATATGAAAAGAAATTATTGTTAAATTTTTCCTCATCAACATAGCGCATTTAACTTAAATCTGCATTCATTGCCAAGTGTAATTAATGTCAGCATAAAAGATTCCCACACTCTTGTTATTCAATTACTAATATTAAAAAAAAGTTTAGGCATCGCTCCATGATTAATTACTCAAGTTGTCATCTTTCATCACCGCATGATAAACATGAGGTGATGAAAGCTAAATATAATAAATAATGATTCGCCAGGTCGGCATCAGGGATATAAAATACCAGTAGGTGTAAAATCAATGATGTTCCTATGTAAAACGTTTCGGTTTGAGATGTGTGCCAAGCAGATACGTAGCTATGGAGCCAAGTATTAATTACAAATTTATGCTTAAATGATTGTTTCTTCAATACGAGGTATTTTATTTAGTGCCTAAGTGAAA